CAAAATTGCAATGACGTTTCTAATAATGGAAATGACCTACATTCCAACCCTACAACATAACATTCCTTAACAGGATGCATGCAGTAACTTCCATTTGTCTAAATAAGGATATGTAGGCGATTTGACACAGCAGGGCAGGCTGTTGTGTTAGGCTCACCGTTTCTCAGTGCAGCTTGAGATCACCACTCAAGATCCAAGTTCAAGTAGCAATTTTATGGGATCTCAAAGTATTTTTCCCCCTAAACCTAAGGAAATCTTAACCAGATGTGGCAGATCAGAACATTTTTCTAATGGTCATTTAAAGCTAGGGTAGGTAATGTATTTCAGAAACAACTGTTATATTGTTAAAATTCTCTTTAATTCAATTCAATTCAATTCAGTTTTATTTGTATAGTGCCAATTCATAACAGAAGTTATCTCAGGACACTTCTCAAATAGAGCAGGTCTAGACCGAACTCTTTAACATTATTTACAGAGACCCAACAGTACCACCATGAGCAAGACCTTGGCGACAAGGGCAAGGAAAGACTGCCTGTTAGAAGGCAGAAACCTAGGACAGATCCTTCGGCTCTAGGTGGGTGGTTGTCTGTCTCGACCAGTTGGGGTGAGAGAGAGAGAGAGAGAGAGAGAGAGAGAGAGAGACAGGCAGACAGGTGCACAGCAACAACAGTATTGGCAATGGCAGTCAAGCAGGACCATGGCAGGAGGCTCCACCAGGATCCATGAGAACCTGCGAGACGAGAAAGCACAAGAACTCCGGGGAAGAAGTGAAGTTAGTAACATGCATTAATGGGACATGAATGAGTGCAGAAAGAGAGAGGAAGAGAGGAGCTCAGTGCACCATGGGAAATCCCCCGATAGTGGGATTTTTTCTCGATCAGATACTTTCAAAATCTAGTTGTATCTTGCTATTTTCTTTGATGTTACCTACCCTAGATTTAAACAGCTTTGAAAGACACTGACAAACAGTGTCTTCCTGCTAAAAGGGACGTCAGATCAGAAAATACGTATGTGTCATTTTGGAAGGCAATGACATTCAACCTGTTTGGTGGACTTGTTGCCTAGGTGTGACATCTGTATAATTATCTGTATCTGTATCTCAATCTTGTTTCATGATCCTCCCATGTTTATATGTAAAGTACAACTCTCCAGTTATCATTATGCTGGTATCATTTTATCCATGGAAAGGTTCCAGTAACGACTGTTGCCTAAACCACCTCACTCCTGGCCAAGCCATGTGTGATGATATGCAACGGACATCATCTCCATCCTGTTTGCAATGTGCCAGACCTACCCACTGCATGCTGGGTAATTAAAGGGACTTTGTGGCATGGCAGCATGGTGGAGAATGCAGTGGAGATTGTAGCTGGGAAGGGGCTGTGTGTTTTCATTAAAGAGCAGGAAGCAGCCTGACACAGGCCATTACTTTGCTTTTGTGCTGGCCAGGAACGGATGGCCATGTATCGTCAGTGTGTTACTGCGGCGCTGAGAGCATGTACTGTGTGTGTGTGTGTGTGTGTGTGTGTGTGTGTGTGTGTGAGAGTGTGTGTGTGTGTGTGTGTGTGAGAGTGTGTGTGTGTGAGTGAGTGTGTGTCAGTGCATGCTGTCTGTACTGAAGCAGGTATTTGACTGTGCATATTCCAACAATGTACAGTGTGTATCTGTGAGAAATGATATGCTTCTTATTTCCTTCTGTCCCTGCACCTCTCTCTTTCCCCCCTTTACCTTTTCCCTGCTCTCTCCTCTTTCTTGCTCTTTCCATCGCTACCTTCACCAGTCATGCTATACATCTCTCCCACCAGGCTAATTGTGCAGAGACTCAGTGGGAGAGAGGGATGGAAGGGGGGTAGATGGAGAGAGGAAGAAACAGAAAGGAAAACTACAGTATTTGAAACTGGTCAAAGCCGGGGGAGAGGTATAGGAAGACTACAGTGCGGCTGCAGTTGCTTTAGGGGGATAAAAGCAAAGGAGGAGCTGTTTTTTGTTCGACTTGTTCAAAGACTAACATGACTAACTAGCCACATGTACACAGAGAAAGAGGAGGCCAATCAGGGTATCTGCAGGTTGTTTTTGTATTTATGAAACGGACCTTAATAGTGTTAGACAGTTAAGACCTTTTCCATTGTAATTTATTATTAAGATTTAAGGAACTGTGGATCCTGTAGGAAAAGAGACTGAGATAGAGACAACACAGTGTACTAAAAGTCCAACTGCTGACCCATTTACTCTACACCATGTCCAGATAAAACTGCTTCCTCAAATGAAACTAGATGGGAGCCACTGATCAGAATACTGCACTTCAAGCAATGACTTTTCTTTTTATCCAGTGTGAGTTCCAAGCTGCAGAGCTGTGTCCTGTGCCCAGGTCTTGGTTATGCATGTTTTCCTCTTGTGTAGCATCTCAGAGAGCGATTTATCACAAAACCACAGGGTTCTGGCTTGGGGAATGGGGTTATATTTCATACAGGCATTCTGTAGGGCAAAACTATTGTTCTGGTGGCGCAGGGCCCCTTAAGAAAGGCAAGATTGGTATTTTTTTGTGTGTGTAACAGAAATTGTGTCTGTGCATATATATATATGTATATGTGTACATTGGTATGTATTTGTTTTTATGTACATCTACACAAACACATGTACTGTACTGCACTGTACTGTATGTACATTTTACCCAAGGGTTATGTTGGACTGGAGCCAGCCTCTCCTCCTGAATGACCTTCTAGAGAAGGGTCTAAGTCAGTACTGCTGAGGTGTTAGAAGGTTTCCTGGCTGGAAGGGATGAAAAAGACGCTTTCCTCAAAATAGATTTTACAGGACCAACTTCTGATTCTTATTCTGAAAATATTTTTCCTACATATTAACCTTCATGAGTGTTGGAATAAGGTTTAATTAACTAGAAAGACCATTCAGGGGACAGGAGTCAGGTAGACATCCAGATCAACCTGTAGTTGATTTTAGATGATGTGCTCACATCAGTGGAGCCATACGCAGCAACAGGTTGGAGTCCATTTGAGATAAGCATCATCATCTCTTTATCTGTGACTTCAAAATAGAGAATTATATTTATATATTATATTATTATATAATGTATGTGAGATATATGTACATTGAAACATTTTTAACAGCCATCCCTCAGTCTGCCCTCCTCACAGAGCTTTGTAATGGGCAGCATAACTTTGCTAATCCCAGCTGATCACCTCTGCTCCCCCCAAATCTAGCTGTATATTTAGCTGCCTGATCATCACACACACTCACACAAACCTGCAGCCACACACACACAAACACAAAACAAACACATGTAACTGCAAGAGCATCCAGGCTTAGTCTATCTAAGTATATCCCTTAACTTCCCTTCCAAACAAACAAGTAAATTAAGCATCCAAACGCTGCTGGGTGAGATCCAGGACATTTCCACTGTGTGTGGAGTGTGAAGCCCCTGGGCACCATCCTCCTAAAAACACAGAGAGAGCTGATGAATTATATTACTCCCTGCATCTCTTAATCTTTATTATAGGGCATCAGCCCTTAAAGATTGGGAGAGGCTAAATGATGGAAGTAAGTGATTACATGGAGGCAGATATAGAGTCAGGTCTCTAAGACACCCAGAATTTTGAGATATAATGATGTTCAGTTGACAAAACTGTACAAACATTTACAGACAGGTGACAAATGAACATCCTCACACTGCTGGACCCAGATGGTTACCACTGACCACCAGACAAAGTTGATAGGAGGGTGTGGTGGATAAAGATTGGGTGTGCTAGGCTCTGCACTCTCTTGATGTGGAAATGATTTGCGACAAACAACAACAAAGCCTGGCCAAGGGAGGTACACAAGGCTCCTCCCTGGGACCTGTCCTCTTCATTTAGTTTTTATTTTACAATCATTTTATAAAATTAATTATTATTATTTAGTGCTGTCAGTTTAACGCGTTATTAACGGCTTAAATTTTTTTTATCCCGAGATTAACGCCTAGCACACTTTGTAGTTTTTTTCACATGCTGTTGCAACAACTAGTAACGTTAGAAAAAACTAGAAAATTCCTGAAGCAATTTTGATTGTGCCTTGCTCTGGCCCGTGACACTGGCCCATACATTACAGACACTGCCGAGTAGTTTACAGTACAATGAGGGGAGACACCTGTGTTTAATTTGGCGTACGCGTGATCCACTAACAACCACATATTTTGATGACAAATCTTGTTTTTTCCATCTATTCCCACGATCTTCTCCCATTGAAATCGTGAGGCCGGTAACGAGTTGATGCGACAAAGTCGGCCAAAAAGTTGGTATTTATGTATTATATTGATGCCGAATTAACAAGAAGACTGTTGAGATATGATGAGTTTTTTCTTGTGTTTCTACAGTTATGTGCTTTTATGTAAGCGCAAATAATTGTTAATATATTGTATTTCTTAAAGGGAGTTTGGCATAATATTGTCCTGGGAAAATGCAGGAAGGGTCATGGTTTGATTAAAATTGCTAAAGTAACTAAATAAGTAATAACCACAATGGTGGGAATTATAAGTATGTAGTTATAATAATAATAATAATAATAATAATAATAACAACAATAATAAGTAATGCTTTCAATAATATGAATAACAATATTTATATTAATAAATAATACATAATTAAGAAAGAAAACTATTCTTACTGTGCAGTCATAGGCAGTTACAACAGTCTGAGTGTCTTCTTCCTCACAAAATAAATCTAACTTGATGTTTTATTACTAAATCTGTATAACTTGTGTCAGGTGTAACAAGTTGAAATAGATGGCTAAATAAGAATTTCAGTGTCTCTTGTGACGTTTAATTAGCACAGTAATCGTTTCTCCTCTCTAGCTAACGAGTGCTAGAACATTAGTAGCTTATCCTCTCTAGCAAGCAAAACATTTAAATTAATTAGCTAGCCTTCTAATACTTTCTTCTACCTACTGATTCTCTTTAGCTAGCTAGCTAGAGCTAGCACACATAAATAAATTAACCAAAGCTAGCGCTTAGCTACGTGCTAATCGCTAGCTAAGCGCTAATCGATAGCTAAGTGCTAGCTTTGGTTAATGTGTTTAATTGTATTATGCTCCTGAAGGAGTGCTAATGTAAATTAAGGAACAGCTGATAGTAGGGTAAAATATTTAAGGTGTATTGAACTTATTTTGTGTTAATATTAAAATCATTCAGCTTTAAATTGTTTGTTTGTTAGCCACCTGCTAATTATCTTTAGCTAGCCAGCTAGCGCTAGATTATTAATGCCTTGTCATTCTCTGTAGCTAGCTCTGTGTGTGTGTGTGTGTGTGTGTGTGTGTGTGTGTGAGCAGGCTTTGGTTGTCATGGCAATCAGGGGAGCCCACAGCAGCTGCGCACGCTCTCTCTCTGTCTCTAACTCCTCAGAGAGACAGAAACATTTAAAATGAATCCCCTCGAACCCATGGCCAGGAACGACCGAAATGAAAACCGAAAAGACCGTGAGCGTCGTCATCTTGTTGACTATAGCACTGCCGAGTTTCAGTGGCTAAAGTTAAAAAATGTGACCTGGGGAGATTGAGAGAGAAGAGGTTCAACGAGCGTCTTTCAAGATTCCTCCTCTAAAATTAACATGGGAGTAGATGGGGCCGTGAGAGGGCGTTGCTGGCGCATCAGTGCGTCTCCCGCCAAAACTATTTGTCTGACAGCTTCAGCAGTGGTATCACTGCGACCCCAACGAATTTACCTACGTTTCTATCTATAAATTATTTCTGTAGAGTGAAATTTGTGGCCATGACAGCAGTTTACAAATTTATTTTTCGACAAATTTTTCTCTCTCCCCACACTCTAGCGATGATGTCACGCACTCTGGCAGTTTTTTTCAGTTGGAGGTTCTCGCAATACACACCCATTCATTTTTTGGACCGGTTTTTGGCGATTTACCGGCAAACCGTTTGGCGAAATTCTTAGAAAAGTCATAGCACTAATGTCCTCATCGAGCCGCACGTTTTGATACCTTTTTTGTGTATGTGCGACAAAAGCTCTGGGAGAAGAAGCGCGCCGAAAAACGTACGGAAGAATAATAATAAGTTTAACTAGAAAATTCCTAAAGCAATTTTGATTGTGCCTTGCTCTGGCCCATATGTTAATACCATGTCTACGTGCTAACCGCTAATCGCTAGCTGTGCGCTAATGACCTTTTATTAATGCCATGTAATCCTCCCTATAGCATACTGATAACCTGTCATCCTCCTTAGCTAGTGCTAGCATATTAATATCATGTCATTCTCTTTAGCTAGCTAGCTAGAGCTAGCACACATAAACACATAAACCAAAGCTAGCGCTTAGCTACGTGCTAATCGCTAGCTAACCGCTAATCGCTAGCGACGTGCTAATCGCTAGCTAACTACTAATCGCTAGCTACATGCTAATCGCTAGCTACATGCTAATCGCTAGCTAAGCGCTAATCGCTAGCTAAGTGCTAGCTTTGGTTAATGTGTTTAATTGTATTATGCTCCTGAAGGAGTGCTAATGTAAATTAAGGAACAGCTCATAGTAGGGTAAAATATTTAAGGTGTATTCTTATTTTACGTAAATATTAAAATCATTCAACTTTAAATTGTTTGCTTGTTAGCCACCTGCTAATTATCCTTAGCTAGCCAGCTAGCGCTAGCTTATTAATGTCTTGTCATTCTCTGTAGCTAGCTGTGTGTGTGTGTGTGTGTGTGTGTGTGTGAGCAGGCTTTGGTTGTCATGGCAATCAGGGGAGCCCACAGCAGCTGCGCACGCTCACTCTCTGTCTCTAACTCCTCAGAGAGACAGAAACATTTAAAATGTATCCCCTCAAAAGCATGGCCAGGAACGACCGAAATGAAAACCGAAAAGACCGTGAGCGTCGTCATCTTGTTGACTATAGCGCTGCCGAGTTTCAGTGGTTAAAGTTAAAAAATGTGACCTGGGGAGATTGAGAGAGAAGAGGTTCAACGAGCGTGTTTCAAGAATCCTCCTCTCCTTTTTAATATGGGAGTAGATGGGGCCGTGAGAGGGCGTTGCTGGCGCATCAGTGCGTTTCCCGCCAAAACTATTTGTCTGACAGCTTCAGCAGTAGTATCACTGCGACCCCAACGGATTTACCTACGTTTCTATCTATAAATTATTTCTGTAGAGTGAAATTTGTGGCCATGACAGCAGTTTACAAATTTATTTTTCGACAAATTTTTCTCTCTCCCCACACTCTAGCGATGATGTCACGCACTCTGGCAGTTTTTTTCGGTTGGAGGTTCTCGCAATACACACCCATTCATTTTTTGGACCGGTTTTTGGCGATTTATCGGCAAACCGTTTGGCGAAATTCTTAGAAAAGTCATAGCACTCGATTCCCGGCCGAGCCGCACGTTTTGATACCTTTTTTGTGTATGTGCGACAAAAGCTGCGGGAGGAGTAGCGCGCCGAAAAACGTACGGAAGAATAAAATATAACTAGAAAATTCCTAAAGCAATTTTGATTGTGCCTTGCTCTGGCCCATATGTTAATACCATGTCTAGCCATGTCTTGCTCTCTAGCACGCTAGCGCTAGCATATTAATACCATGTAATTCTCTTTAGCTAGAGCTAGCACACATAAACACATTAACCAAAGGTAGCGCTTAGCTACGTGCTAAGCGCTAGCTAAGCGCTAATCGCTAGCTAAGCGCTAATCGCTAGCTACGTGCTAATCGCTAATCGCTAGCTAAGTGCTAGCTTTGGTTAATGTGTTTAATTGTATAATGCTCCTGAAGGAGTGCTAATGTAAATGAAGGAACAGCTCATAGTAGGGTAAAATATTTAAGGTGTATTAAACTTATTTTGTGTTAATATTAAAATCATTCAGCCTTAAATTGTTTGCTTGTTAGCCACCTGCTAATTATCTTTAGCTAGCCAGCTAGCGCTAGATTATTAATGCCATGTAATCCTCCCTATAGCATATTGATAACCTGTCATCCTCCTTAGCTAGCGCTAGCATATTAATATCATGTCATTCTCTTTAGTTAGCTAGCTAGAGCTAGCACACATAAACACATAAACCAAAGCTAGTGCTTAGCTACGTGCTAATCGCTAGCTAACCGCTAATCGCTAGCTAACCGCTAATCGCTAGCTACATGCTAATCGCTAGCTAAGCGCTAATCGCTAGCTACATGCTAATCGCTAGCTAAGCGCTAATCGCTAGCTAAGTGCTAGCTGTGGTTAATGTGTTTAATTGTATTATGCTCCTGAAGGAGTGCTAATGTAAATTAAGGAACAGCTCATAGTAGGGTAAAATATTTAAGGTGTATTGTTCTTATTTTGTGTTAATATTAAAATCATTCAGCTTTAAATTGTTTGTTTGTTAGCCACCTGCTAATTATCTTTAGCTAGCTTATTAATGTCTTGTCATTCTCTGTAGCTAGCTGTGTGTGTGTGTGTGTGTGTGTGTGTGTGTGTGTGTGTGTGTGTGTGTGAGCAGGCTTTGGTTGTCATGGCAATCAGGGGAGCCCACAGCAGCTGCGCACGCTCTCTCTCTGTCTCTAACTCCTCAGAGAGACAGAAAACATTTAAAATGAATCCCCTCAAAAGCATGGCCAGGAACGACCGAAATGAAAACCGAAAAGACCGTGAGCGTCGTCATCTTGTTGACTATAGCGCTGCCGAGTTTCAGTGGTTAAAGTTAAAAAATGTGACCTGGGGAGATTGAGAGAGAAGAGGTTCAACGAGCGTTTTTCAAGAATCCTCCTCTCCATTTTAACATGGGAGTAGATGGGGCCATGAGAGGGAGTTGCTGGCGCATCAGTGCGTCTCCCGCCAAAACTATTTGTCTGACAGCTTCAGCAGTAGTATCACTGCGACCCCAACGAATTTACCTACGTTTCTATCTATAAATTATTTCTGTACAGTGAAATTTGTGGCCATGACAGCAGTTTACAAATTTATTTTTCGACAAATTTTTCTCTCTCCCCACACTCTAGCGATGATGTCACGCACTCTGGCAGTTTTTTTCGGTTGGAGGTTCTCGCAATACACACCCATTCATTTTTTGGACCGGTTTTTGGCGATTTACCGGAAAACCGTTTGGCGAAATTCTTAGAAAAGTCATAGCACTCGATTCCCGGCCGAGCCGCACGTTTTGATACCTTTTTTGTGTATGTGCGACAAAAGCTGCGGGAGAAGAAGCGCGCCGAAAAACGTACGGAAGAATAAAATATTATAACTAGAAAATTCCTAAAGCAATTTTGATTGTGCCTTGCTCTGGCCCATATGTTAATACCATGTCTACGTGCTAACCGCTAGGTCTGCGCTAATCGCTAGCTCTGCGCTAATCGCTAGCTAAGTGCTAACCGCTAATCGCTAGCTAAGTGCTAACTTTGGTCAATGTGTTTAATTGTATTATGCTTCTGAAGGAGTGCTAATGTAAATGAAGGAACAGCTCATAGTAGGGTAAAATATTTAAGGTGTATTGTTCTTATTTTGTGTTAATATTAAAATCATTCAGCTTTAAATTGTTTGCTTGTTAGCCACCTGCTAATTATCTTTAGCTAGCCAGCTAGCGCTAGATTATTAATGCCATGTAATCCTCCCTATAGCATATTGATAACCTGTCATCCTCCTTAGCTAGCGCTAGCATATTAATATCATGTCATTCTCTTTAGTTAGCTAGCTAGAGCTAGCACACATAAACACATAAACCAAAGCTAGCGCTTAGCTACGTCCTAATCGCTAGCTAACCGCTAATCGCTAGCTAACCGCTAATCGCTAGCTACATGCTAATCGCTAGCTAAGCGCTAATCGCTAGCTACATGCTAATCGCTAGCTAAGTGCTAGCTGTGGTTAATGTGTTTAATTGTATTATGCTCCTGAAGGAGTGCTAATGTAAATTAAGGAACAGCTCATAGTAGGGTAAAATATTTAAGGTGTATTGTTCTTATTTTGTGTTAATATTAAAATCATTCAGCTTTAAATTGTTTGTTTGTTAGCCACCTGCTAATTATCTTTAGCTAGCCAGCTAGCGCTAGCTTATTAATGTCTTGTCATTCTCTGTAGCTAGCTGTGTGTGTGTGTGTGTGTGTGTGTGTGTGTGTGAGCAGGCTTTGGTTGTCATGGCAATCAGGGGAGCCCACAGCAGCTGCGCGCGCTCTCTCTCTGTCTCTAACTCCTCAGAGAGACAGAAACATTTAAATTGAATCCCCTCAAACCCATGGCCAGGAACGACCGAAATAAAAACCGAAAAGACCGTGAGCGTCGTCATCTTGTTGACTATAGCTCTGCCGAGTTTCAGTGGTTAAAGTTAAAAAATGTGACCTGGGGAGATTGAGAGAGAAGAGGTTCAACGAGCGTCTTTCAAGTTTCCTCCTCTACATTTTAACATGGGAGTAGATGGGGCCGTGAGAGGGCGTTGCTGGCGCATCAGTGCGTTTCCCGCCAAAACTATTTGTCTGACAGCTTCAGCAGTGGTATCACTGCGACCCCAACGAATTTACCTACGTTTCTATCTATAAATTATTTCTGTAGAGTGAAATTTGTGGCCATGACAGCAGTTTACAAATTTATTTTTCGACAAATTTTTCTCTCTCCCCACACTCTAGCGATGATGTCACGCACTCTGGCAGTTTTTTTCAGTTGGAGGTTCTCGCAATACACACCCATTCATTTTTTGGACCGGTTTTTGGCGATTTACCGGCGAACCGTTTGGCGAAATTCTTAGAAAAGTCATAGCACTCGATTCCCGGCCGAGCCGCACGTTTTGATACCTTTCTTGTGTACGTGCGACAAAAGCTCCGGGAGGAGTAGCGCGCCGAAAAACGTACGGAAGAATAATAATAATAACTAGAAAATTCCTAAAGCAATTTTGATTGTGCCTTGCTCTGGCCCATATGTTAATACCATGTCTACGTGCTACCATAGCTCTGCGCTAATGGCTAGCTCTGCGCTAATCGCTAGCTAAGTGCTAACCGCTAATCGCTAGCTAAGTGCTAGCTTTGGTTAATGTGTTTAATTGTATTTTGCTCCTGAAGGAGTGCTAATGTAAATTAAGGAACAGCTCATAGTAGGGTAAAATATTTAAGGTGTATTGAACTTATTTTGTGTTAATATTAAAATCATTCAGCTTTAAATTGTTTGCTTGTTAGCCACCTGCTAATTATCTTTAGCTAGCCAGCTAGCGCTAGCTTATTAATGCCATGTAATCCTCCCTATAGCATATTGATAACCTGTCATCCTCCTTAGCTAGCGCTAGCATATTAATATCATGTCATTCTCTTTAGCTAGCTAGCTAGAGCTAGCACACATAAACACATTAACCAAAGGTAGCGCTTAGCTACGTGCTAATCGCTAGCTAACCGCTAATCGCTAGCTAAGTGCTAGCTTTGGTTAATGTGTTTAATTGTGTTATGCTCCTGAAGGAGTGCTAATGTAAATTAAGGAACAGCTCATAGTAGGGTAAAATATTTAAGGTGTATTGTTCTTATTTTGTGTTAATATTAAAATCATTCAGCTTTAAATTGTTTGCTTGTTAGCCACCTGCTAATTATCTTTACTAGCCAGCTAGCGCTAGATTATTAATGTCTTGTCATTCTCTGTAGCTAGCTGTGTGTGTGTGTGTGTGTGTGTGTGTGTGAGCAGGCTTTGGTTGTCATGGCAATCAGGGGAGCCCACAGCAGCTGCGCGTGCTCTCTCTCTGTCTCTAACTCCTCAGAGAGACAGAAACATTTAAAATGAATCCCCTAAAAAGCATGGCCAGGAACGACCGAAATGAAAACCGAAAAGACCGTGAGCGTCGTCATCTTGTTGACTATAGCACTGCCGAGTTTCAGTGGTTAAAGTTGAAAAATGTGACCTGGGGAGATTGAGAGAGAAGAGGTTCAACGAGCGTTTTTCAAGAATCCTCCTCTCCATTTTAACATGGGAGTAGATGGGGCCGTGAGAGGGTGTTGCTGGCGCATCAGTGCGTTTCCCGCCAAAACTATTTGTCTGACAGCTTCAGCAGTGGTATCACTGCGACCCCAACGGATTTACCTACGTTTCTATCTATAAATTATTTCTGTAGAGTGAAATTTGTGGCCATGACAGCAGTTTACAAATTTATTTTTCGACAAATTTTTCTCTCTCCCCACACTCTAGCGATGATGTCACGCACTCTGGCGGTTTTTTTCAGTTGGAGGTTCTCGCAATACACACCCATTCATTTTTTGGACCGGTTTTTGGCGATTTATCGGCGAACCGTTTGGCGAAATTCTTAGAAAAGTCATAGCACTAATGTCCTCATCGAGCCGCACGTTTTGATACCTTTTTTGTGTATGTGCGACAAAAGCTCTGGGAGAAGAAGCGCGCCGAAAAACGTACGGAAGAATAATAATAAGTTTAATAATAATAAGCACGAGGAAGAGTAGTATTGTGCTTGCTTATGCAAGGCACAATAATAAGCACGAGGGATAGTAGTATTGTGCTTGCTTATGCAAGGCACAATAACTAGAAAATTCCTAAAGCAATTTTGATTGTGCCTTGCTCTGGCCCATATGTTAATACCATGTCTACGTGCTAACCGCTATTCGCTAGCAGTGCGCTAATTACCTCTTATTAATGCCATGTAATCCTCCCTATAGCATATTGATAACCTGTCATCCTCCTTAGCTAGCACTAGCATATTAATATCATGTCATTCTCTTTAGCAAGCTAGCTAGAGCTAGCCCACATAAACACATAAACCAAAGCTAGCGCTTAGCTACGTGCTAATCGCTAGCTAACCGCTAATCGCTAGCTACGTGCTAATCGCTAGCTAACTGCTAATCGCTAGCTACATGCTAATCGCTAGCTAAGCGCTAATCGCTAGCTAAGTGCTAGCTTTGGTTAATGTGTTTAATTGTATTATGCTCCTGAAGGAGTGCTAATGTAAATTAAGGAACAGCTCATAGTAGGGTAAAATATTTAAGAAGTATTGAACTTATTTTGTGTTAATATTAAAATCATTCAGCTTTAAATTGTTTGTTTGTTAGCCGCCTGCTAATTATCTTTAGCTAGCCAGCTAGCACTAGCTTATTAATGTCTTGTCATTCTCTGTAGCTAGCTGTGTGTGTGTGTGTGTGTGTGTGTGTGTGTGTGTGTGTGTGAGAGCAGGCTTTGGTTGTCATGGCAATCAGGGGAGCCCACAGCAGCTGCGCACGCTCTCTCTCTGTCTCTAACTCCTCAGAGAGACAGAAAACATTTAAAATGAATCCCCTCAAAAGCATGGCCAGGAACGACCGAAATGAAATCCGAAAAGACCGTGAGCGTCGTCATCTTGTTGACTATAGCGCTGCCGAGTTTCAGTGGTTAAAGTTAAAAAATGTGACCTGGACAGATTGAGAGAGAAGAGGTTCAACGAGCTCCTTTAAACATTCCTCCTCTAAAATTAACATGGGAGTAGATGGGGCCGTGAGAGGGTGTTGCTGGCGCATCAGTGCGTTTCCCGCCAAAACTATTTGTCTGACAGCTTCAGCAGTGGTATCACTGCGACCCCAACGAATTTACCTACGTTTCTATCTATAAATTATTTCTGTAGAGTGAAATTTGTGGCCATGACAGCAGTTTACAAATTTATTTTTCGACAAATTTTTCTCTCTCCCCACACTCTAGCGATGATGTCACGCACTCTGGCAGTTTTTTTCAGTTGGAGGTTCTCGCAATACACACCCATTCATTTTTTGGACCGGTTTTTGGCGATTTACCGGCGAACCGTTTGGCGAAATTCTTAGAAAAGTCATAGCACTCGATTCCCGGCCGAGCCGCACGTTTTGATACCTTTTTTGTGTACGTGCGACAAAAGCTCCGGGAGAAGAAGCGCGCCGAAAAACGTACGGAAGAATAAAATATTATAATAAGCCCGAGGGATAGTAGTATTGTGCTTGCTTTGCAAGGCACAATAACTAGAAAATTCCTAAAGCAATTTTGATTGTGCCTTGCTCTGGCCCATATGTTAATACCATGTCTACGTGCTAACCGCTAATCGCTAGCTGTGCGCTAATCGCTAGCTGAGTGCTAACCGCTAATCGCTAGCTAAGTGCTAGCTTTGGTTAATGTGTTTAATTGTATTATGCTCCTGAAGGAGTGCTAATGTAAATTAAGGAACAGCTCATAGTAGGGTAAAATATTTAAGGTGTATTGTTCTTATTTTGTGTTAATATTAAAATCATTCAGCTTTAAATTGTTTGTTTGTTAGCCACCTGCTAATTATCTTTAGCTAGCCAGCTAGCGCTAGATTATTAATGCCATGTAATCCTCCCTATAGCATATTGATAACCTGTCATCCTCCTTAGCTAGCGCTAGCATATTAATATCATGTCATTCTCTTTAGCTAGCTAGCTAGAGCTAGCACACATAAACACATAAACCAAAGCTAGCGCTTAGCTACGTGCTAATCGCCAGCTAACCGCTAATCGCTAGCTATCTGCTAATCGCTACATACATGCTAATGGCTAGCTAACCGCTAATCGCTAGCTAACCGCTAATCGCTAGATACATTCTAATCGCTAGCTAAGCGCTAATCGCTAGCTAAGTGCTAACCGCTAATCGCTAGCTAAGTGCTAGCTTTGGTTAATGTGTTTAATTGTATTATGCTCCTGAAGGAGTGCTAATGTAAATTAAGGAACAGCTCATAGTAGGGTAAAATATTTAAGGTGTATTGTTCTTATTTTGTGTTAATATTAAAATCATTCAGCTTTAAATTGTTTGCTTGTTAGCCACCTTCTAATTATCTTTAGCTAGCCAGCTAGCGCTAGCTTATTAATGTCTTGTCATTCTCTGTAGCTAGCTCTGTGTGTGTGTGTGTGTGTGTGAGCAGGCTTTGGTTGTCATGGCAATCAGGGGAGCCCACAGCAGCTGCGCGCGCGCGCTCTCTCTCTGTCTCCAACTCCTCAGAGAGACAGAAAACAATTAAAATTAATCCCCTCGAACCCATGGCCAGGAACGACCGAAGTGAAAACCGAAAAGACCGTGAGCGTCGTCATCTTGTTGACTATAGCACTGCCGAGTTTTAGTGGCAAAAGTTAAAAAATGTGACCTGGGGAGATTGAGAGAGAAGAGGTTCAACAAGCGTTTTTGAAGATTGCTCCTCTAAAATTAACATGGGAGTAGATGGGGCCGTGAGAGGGCGTTGCTGGCGCATCAGTGCGTCTCCCGCCAAAACTATTTGTCTGACAGCTTCAGCAGTAGTATCACTGCGACCCCAACGAATTTACCTACGTTTCTATCTATAAATTATTTCGGTAGAGTAAAATTTGTGGCAATGACAGCAGTTTACAAATTTATTTTTCGACAAATTTTTCTCTCTCCCCACACTCTAGCGATGATGTCACGCACTCTGGCGGTTTTTTTCAGTTGGAGGTTCTCGCAATACACACCCATTCATTTTTTGGACCGGTTTTTGGCGATTTATCGGCAAACCGTTTGGCGGAATTCTTAGAAAAGTCATAGCACTCGATTCCCGGCCGAGCCGCACGTTTTGATACCTTTTTTGTGTATGTGCGACAAAAGCTGCGGGAGAAGAAGCGCGCCGAAAAACGTACGGAAGAAGAATAATAATATTAAGCCCGAGGAATAATAGTATTGTGCTTGCTTATGCAAGGCACAATAATAAGCCCGAGGGATAGTAGTATTGTGCTTGCTTTGCAAGGCACAATAATAAGTATGAGGGATAGTAGTATTGTGCTTGCTTATGCAAGGCACAATAATAATAACTAGAAAATTCCTAAAGCAATTTTGATTGTGCCTTGCTCTGGCCCATATGTTAATACCATGTCTACGTGCTAACCGCTAATCGCTAGCTGTGCGCTAATCGCTAGCTTAGTGCTAACCGCTAATCGCTAGCTTAGTGCTAACCGCTAATTGCTAGCTAAGTGCTAGCTTTGGTTAATGTGTTTAATTGTATTATGCTCCTGAAGGAGTGCTAATGTAAAATAAGGAACAGCTCATAGTAGGGTAAAATATTTAAGGTGTATTGAACTTATTTTGTGTTAATATTAAAATCATTCAGCTTTAAATTGTTTGCTTGTTAGCCACCTTCTAATTATCTTTAGCTAGCCAGCTAGCGCTAGATTATTAATGCCATGTAATCCTGCCTTCAGCATATTGATAACCTGTCATCCTCCTTAGCTAGCGCTAGCATATTAATATCATGTCATTCTCTTTAGCTAGCTAGCTAGAGCTAGCACACATAAACACATAAACCAAAGGTAGCGCTTAGCTACGTGCTAATCGCTAGCTAACCGCTAATCGCTAGCTACATGCTAATCGCTAGCTACATGCTAATCGCTAGCTAAGCGCTAATCGCTAGCTAAGTGCTAGCTTTGGTTAATGTGTTTAATTGTATTATGCTCCTGAAGGAGTGCTAAAGTAAATTAAGGAACAGCTCAGAGTAGGGTAAAATATTTAAGGTGTATTGTTCTTATTTTGTGTTAATATTAAAATCATTCAGCTTTAAATTGTTTGCTATTTAGCCGCCTGCTAATTATCTTTAGCTAGCCAGCTAGCGCTAGCTTATTAATGTCTTGTCATTCTCTGTAGCTAGCTGTGTGTGTGTGTGTGTGTGTGTGTGTGTGTGTGTGTGTGTGTGAGCAGGCTTTGGTTGTCATGGCAATCAGGGGAGCCCACAGCAGCTGCGCGCGCACTCTCTCTGTCTCTAACTCCTCAGAGAGACAGAAAACAATTAAAACGAATCCCCTCAAAAGCATGGCCAGGAACGACCGAAATGAAAACCGAAAACACCGTGGGCGTCGTCATCTTGTTGACTATAGCGCTGCCAAGTTTTAGTGGTTTAAGTTAAAAAATGTGACCTGGGGAGATTGAGAGAGAAGAGGTTCAACGAGCGTCTTTCAAGATTTGTCATCTAAAATTAACATGGGAGTAGATGGGGCCGTGAGAGGGCGTTGCTGGCGCATCAGTGCGTCTCCCGCCAAAACTATTTGTCTGACAGCTTCAGCAGTAGTATCACTGCGACCCCAACGAATTTACCTACGTTTCTATCTATAAATTATTTCTGTAGAGTGAAATTTGTGGCCATGACAGCAGTTTACAAATTTATTTTTCGACAAATTTTTCTCTCTCCCCACACTCTAGCGATGATGTCACGCACTCTGGCAGTTTTTTTCAGTTGGAGGTTCTCGCAATACACACCCATTCATTTTTTGGACCGGTTTTTGGCGATTTATCGGCGAACCGTTTGGCGAAATTCTTAGAAAAGTCATAGCACTCGATTCCCGGCCGAGCCGCACGTTTTGATACCTTTTTTGTGTATGTGCGACAAAAGCTGCGGGAGAAGAAGCGCGCCGAAAAACGTACGGAAGAATAATAATAACTAGAAAATTCCTAAAGCAATTTTGATTGTGCCTTGCTCTGGCCCATATGTTAATACCATGTCTACGTGCTAACCGCTAATCGCTAGCTGTGCGCTAATCGCTAGCTAAGTGCTAATCGCTAATTGCTAGCTAAGTGCTAGCTTTGGTTAATGTGTTTAATTGTATTTTGCTCCTGAAGGAGTGCTAATGTAAATTAAGGAACAGCTCATAGTAGGGTAAAATATTTAAGGTGTATTGTTCTTATTTTGTGTTAATATTAAAATCATTCAGCTTTAAATTGTTTGTTTGTTAGCCCCCTTCTAATTATCTTTAGCTAGCCAGCTAGCGCTAGATTATTAATGCCATGTAATCCTCCCTATAGCATATTGATAACCTGTCATCCTCCTTAGCTAGCGCTAGCATATTAATATCATGTCATTCTCTTTAGCTAGCTAGCTAGAGCTAGCACACATAAACACATTAACCAAAGGTAGCGCTTAGCTACGTGCTAATCGCTAGCTACATGCTAATCGCTAGCTACATGCTAATCGCTAGCTAAGTGCTAATCGCTAGCTAAGTGCTAGCTTTGGTTAATGTGTTTAATTGTATTATGCTCCCAAAGGAGTGCTAATGTAAATTAAGGAACAGCTCATAGTAGGGTAAAATATTTAAGGTGTATTGAACTTATTTTGTGTTAATATTAAAATCATTCAGCTTTAAATTGTTTGCTTGTCAGCCGCCTGCTAATTATCTTTAGCTAGGTAGCTACCTAGCTTATTAATGTCTTGTCATTCTCTGTAGCTAGCTGTGTGTGTGTGTGTGTGTGTGTGTGTGTGTGTGTGTGTGTGTGGCAGGCTTTAGTTGTCATGGCAATCAGGGGAGCCCACAGCAGCTGCGCACGCTCGCTCTCTGTCTCTAACTCCTCAGAGAGACAAAAACATTTAAAATGAATCCCCTCAAAAGCATGGCCAGGAACGACCGAAATGAAAACCGAAAAGACCGTGAGCGTCGTCATCTTGTTGACTATAGCAGTGCCGAGTTTCAGTGGTTAAAGTAAAAAAATGTGACCTGGGGAGATTGAGAGAGAAGAGGTTCAACGAGCGTGTTTCAAGAATCCTCCTCTCCTTTTTAATATGGGAGTAGATGGGGCCGTGAGAGGGCGTTGCTGGCGCATCAGTGCGTCTCCCGCCAGAACTATTTGTCTGACAGCTTCAGCAGTAGTATCACTGCGACCCCAACGGATTTACCTACGTTTCTATCTATAAATTATTTCGGTAGAGTGAAATTTGTGGCCATGACAGCAGTTTACAAATTTTTTTTTCGACAAATTTTTCTCTCTCCCCACACTCTAGCGATGACATCACGCACTCTGGCAGTTTTTTTCAGTTGGAGGTTCTCGCAATACACACCCATTCATTTTTTGGACCGGTTTTTGGCGATTTATCGGAAAACCGATTGGCGAAATTCTTAGAAAAGTCATAGCACTCGATTCCCGGCCGAGCCGCACGTTTTGATACCTTTTTTGTGTACGTGCGACAAAAGCTCCGGGAGAAGAAGCGCGCCGAAAAACGTACGGAAGAATAAAATATTATAACTAGAAAATTCCTAAAGCAATTTTGATTGTGCCTTGCTCTGGCCCATATGTTAATACCATGTCTACGTGCTAACCGCTAATCGCTAGCTGTGCGCTAATCGCTAGCTAAGTGCTAACCGCTAATCGCTAGCTAAGTGCTAGCTTTGGTTAATGTGTTTAATTGTATTATGCTCCTGAAGGAGTGCTAATGTAAATTAAGGAACAGCTCATAGTAGGGTAAAATATTTAAGATGTATTGAACTTATTTTGTGTTAATATTAAAATCATTCAGCTTTAAATTGTTTGTTTGATGGCCACCTGCTAATTATCTTTAGCTAGCCAGCTAGCGCTAGCTTATTAATGCCATGTAATCCTCCCTATAGCATATTGATAACCTGTCATCCTCCTTAGCTAGCGCTAGCATATTAATATCATGTCATTGTCTTTAGCTAGCTAGCTAAAGCTAGCACATATAAACACATAAACCAAAGCTAGTGCTTAGCTACGTGCTAATCGCTAGCTACGTGCTAATCGCTAGTTACATGCTAATCGCTAGCTAACCGCTAATCGCTAGCTACATGCTAATCGCTAGCTAAGCGCTAATCGCTAGCTGAGTGCTAGCTTTGGTTAATGTGTTTAATTGTATTATTCTCCTGAAGGAGTGCTAATGTAAATTAAGGAACAGCTCATAGTAGGGTAAAATATTTAAGATGTATTGAACTTATTTTGTGTTAATATTAAAATCATTCAGCTTTAAATTGTTTGCTTGTTAGCCACCTGCTAATTATCTTTAGCTAGCCAGCTAGCGCTAGCTTATTAATGTCTTGTCATTCTCTGTAGCTAGCTGTGTGTGTGTGTGTGTGTGTGTGTGAGAGCAGGCTTTGGTTGTCATGGCAATCAGGGGAGCCCACAGCAGCTGCGCGCGCTCTCTCTCTGTCTCTAACTCCTCAGAGAGACAGAAACAATTAAAATGAATCCCCTCGAACCCATGGCCAGGAACGACCGAAATGAAAACCGAAAAGACCGTGGGCGTTGTCATCTTGTTGACTATAGCTCTGCCGAGTTTCAGTGGTTAAAGTTAAAAAATGTGACCTGGACAGATTGAGAGAGAAGAGGTTCAACGAGCGTGTTTCAAGATTTGTCCTCTAAAATTAACATGGGAGTAGATGGGGCCGTGAGAGGGCGTTGCTGGCGCATCAGTGCGTCTCCCGCCAAAACTATTTGTCTGACAGCTTCAGCAGTGGTATCACTGCGACCCCAACGGATTTACCTACGTTTCTATCTATAAATTATTTCTGTAGAGTGAAATTTGTGGCCATGACAGCAGTTTACAAATTTATTTTTCGACAAATTTTTCTCTCTCCCCACACTCTAGCGATGATGTCACGCACTCTGGCAGTTTTTTTCAGTTGGAGGTTCTCGCAATACACACCCATTCATTTTTTGGACCGGTTTTTGCCGATTTATCGGCGAACCGTTTGGCGAAATTCTTAGAAAAGTCATAGCACTAATGTCCTCAACGAGCCGCACGTTCTGATACCTTTTTTGTGTACGTGCGATCAAAGCTCTGGGAGAAGAAGCGCGCCGAAAAAGCGTACGGAAGAATAAAATATTATAATAAGTATGGGGAATAATAGTATTGTGCTTGCTTATGCAAGGCACAATAACTAGAAAATTCCTAAAGCAATTTTGATTGTGCCTTGCTCTGGCCCATATGTTAATACCATGTCTACGTGCTAACCGCTATTTAACCGCTAATCGCTAGCTGTGCGCTAATCGCTAGCTAAGTGCTAACCGCTAATCGCTAGCTAAGTGCTAGCTTTGGTTAATGTGTTTAATTGTATTATGCTCCTGAAGGAGTGCTAATGTAAATTAAGGAACAGCTCAGAGTAGGGTAAAATATTTAAGGTGTATTGTTCTTATTTTGTGTTAATATTAAAATGATTCAGCTTTAAATTGTTTGTTTGTTAGCCACCTTCTAATTATCTTTAGCTAGCCAGCTAGCGCTAGATTATTAATGCCATGTAATCCTCCCTATAGCATATTGATAACCGGTCATCCTCCTTAGCTAGCACTAGCATATTAATATCATGTCATTCTCTTTAGCTAGCTAGCTAGAGCTAGCACACATAAACACATTAACCAAAGGTAGCACTTAGCTATGTGCTAATCGCTAGCTAAGACCTAATTGCTAGCTACGTGCGAATCGCTTGCTAACCGCTAATCGCTAGCTAAGCGCTAATCGCTAGCTAACCGCTAATGGCTAGCTGTGCGCTAATCGCTAGCTGTGCGCTAATCGCTAGCTTAGCGCCAATCGCTAGCCGTGCGCTAATAGCTAGCTAAGTGCTAGCTTTGGTTAATGTGTTTAATTGTATTATGCTCCTGAAGGAGTGCTAATGTAAATTAAGGAACAGCTCATAGTAGGGTAAAATATTTGAGGTGTATTGAACTTATTTTGTGTTAATATTAAAATCATTCAGCTTTAAATTGTTTGTTTGTTAGCCACCTGCTAATTATCTTTAGCTATCCAGCTAGCGCTAGCTTATTAATGTCTTGTCATTCTCTGTAGCTAGCTGTGTGTGTGTGTGTGTGTGTGAGCAGGCTTTGGTTGTCATGGCAATCAGGGGAGCCCACAGCAGCTGCGCGCGCTCTCTCTCTGTCTCTAACTCCTCAGAGAGACAGAAAACATTTAAAATGAATCCCCTCAAAAGCATGGACAGGAACGACCGAAATGAAAACCGAAAACACCGTGAGCGTCGTCATCTTGTTGACTATAGCACTGCCGAGTTTCAGTGGTTAAAGTTAAAAAATGTGACCTGGGGAGATTGAGAGAGAAGAGGTTCAACGAGCGTTTTTCAAGAATCCTCCTCTCCATTTTAACATGGGAGTAGATGGGGCCGTGAGAGGGCGTTGCTGGCGCATCAGTGCGTCTCCCGCCAAAACTATTTGTCTGACAGCTTCAGCAGTAGTATCACTGCGACCCCAACTAATTTACCTACGTTTCTATCTATAAATTATTTCTGTAGAGTGAAATTTGTGGCCATGACAGCAGTTTACAAATTTATTTTTCGACAAATTTTTCTCTCTCCCCACACTCTAGCGATGATGTCACGCACTCTGGCAGTTTTTTTCAGTTGGAGGTTCTCGCAATACACACCCATTCATTTTTTGGACCGGTTTTTGGCGATTTATCGGCAAACCGTTTGGCGAAATTCTTAGAAAAGTCATAGCACTCGATTCCCGGCCGAGCCGCACGTTTTGATACCTTTTTTGTGTACGTGCGATCAAAGCTCTGGGAGAAGAAGCGCGCCGAAAAAGCGTACGGAAGAATAAAATATTATAACTAGAAAATTCCTAAAGCAATTTTGATTGTGCCTTGCTCTGGCCCATATGTTAATACCATGTCTAGCCATGTCTTGCTCTCTAGCACGCTAGCGCTAGCATATTAATACCATGTAATTCTCTTTAGCTAGAGCTAGCACACATTAACACATTAACCAAAGGTAGCGCTTAGCTACGTGCTAAGCGCTAGCTAAGCGCTAATCGCTAGCTACGTGCTAATCGCTAATCGCTAGCTAAGTGCTAGCTTTGGTTAATGTGTTTAATTGTATAATGCTCCTGAAGGAGTGCTAATGTAAATGAAGGAACAGCTCATAGTAGGGTAAAATATTTAAGGTGTATTAAACTTATTTTGTGTTAATATTAAAAACATTCAGCTTTAAATTGTTTGCTTGTTAGCCGCCTGCTAATTATCTTGAGCTAGCCAGCTAGTGCTAGATTATTAATGCCATGTAATCCTCCCTATAGCATATTGATAACCTGTCATCCTCCTTAGCTAGCGCTAGCATATTAATATCATGTCATTCTCTTTAGTTAGCTAGCTAGAGCTAGCACACATAAACACATAAACCAAAGCTAGCGCTTAGCTACGTGCTAATCGCTAGCTAACCGCTAATCGCTAGCTAACCGCTAATCGCTAGCTACATGCTAATCGCTAGCTAAGCGCTAATCGCTAGCTACATGCTAATCGCTAGCTAAGCGCTAATCGCTAGCTAAGTGCTAGCTTTGGTTAATGTGTTTAATTGTATTATGCTCCTGAAGGAGTGCTAATGTAAATTAAGGAACAGCTCATAGTAGGGTAAAATATTTAAGGTGTATTGTTCTTATTTTGTGTTAATATTAAAATCATTCAGCTTTAAATTGTTTGCTTGTTAGCCACCTGCTAATTATCTTTAGCTAGCCAGCTAGCGCTAGCTTATTAATGTCTTGTCATTCTCTGTAGCTAGCTGTGTGTGTGTGTGTGTGTGTGTGAGCAGGCTTTGGTTGTCATGGCAATCAGGGGAGCCCACAGCAGCTGCGCACGCTCTCTCTCTGTCTCTAACTCCTCAGAGAGACAGAAAACATTTAAAATGAATCCCCTCAAAAGCATGGCCAGGAACGACCGAAATGAAAACCGAAAAGACCGTGAGCGTCGTCATCTTGTTGACTATAGCGCTGCCGAGTTTCAGTGGTTAAAGTTAAAAAATGTGACCTGGGGAGATTGAGAGAGAAGAGGTTCAACGAGCGTTTTTCAAGAATCCTCCTCTCCATTTTAACATGGGAGTAGATGGGGCCATGAGAGGGAGTTGCTGGCGCATCAGTGCGTCTCCCGCCAAAACTATTTGTCTGACAGCTTCAGCAGTAGTATCACTGCGACCCCAACGAATTTACCTACGTTTCTATCTATAAATTATTTCTGTACAGTGAAATTTGTGGCCATGACAGCAGTTTACAAATTTATTTTTCGACAAATTTTTCTCTCTCCCCACACTCTAGCGATGATGTCACGCACTCTGGCAGTTTTTTTCGGTTGGAGGTTCTCGCAATACACACCCATTCATTTTTTGGACCGGTTTTTGGCGATTTACCGGCGAACCGTTTGGCGAAATTCTTAGAAAAGTCATAGCACTCGATTCCCGGCCGAGCCGCACGTTTTGATACCTTTTTTGTGTACGTGCGATCAAAGCTCTGGGAGAAGAAGCGCGCCGAAAAAGCGTACGGAAGAATAAAATATTATAATAAGTATGGGGAATAATAGTATTGTGCTTGCTTATGCAAGGCACAATAACTAGAAAATTCCTAAAGCAATTTTGATTGTGCCTTGCTCTGGCCCATATGTTAATACCATGTCTACGTGCTACCATAGCTCTGCGCTAATGGCTAGCTCTGCGCTAATGGCTAGCTCTGCGCTAATCGCTAGCTAAGTGCTAACCGCTAATCGCTAGCTAAGTGCTAGCTTTGGTTAATGTGTTTAATTGTATTATGCTCCTGAAGGAGTGCTAATGTAAATTAAGGAACAGCTCATAGTAGGGTAAAATATTTAAGGTGTATTGAACTTATTTTGTGTTAATATTAAAATCATTCAGCTTTAAATTGTTTGCTTGTTAGCCACCTTCTAATTATCTTTAGCTAGCCAGCTAGTGCTAGCTTATTAATGCCACGTAATCCTCCCTATAGCATATTGATAACCTGTCATCCTCCTTAGCTAGCGCTAGCATATTAATATCATGTCATTCTCTTTAGCTAGCTAGCTAAAGCTAGCACATATAAACACATAAACCAAAGCTAGTGCTTAGCTATGTGCTAATCGCTAGCTAACCGCTAAACGCTAGCTACGTGCTAATCGCTAGCTAACCGCTAACCGCTAGCTACATGCTAATCGCTAGCTAAACGCTAATCGCTAGCTGAGTGCTAGCTTTGGTTAATGTGTTTAATTGTATTATGCTCCTGAAGGAGTGCTAATGTAAATTAAGGAACAGCTCATAGTAGGGTAAAATATGTAAGGTGTATTGAACTTATTTTGTGTTAATATTAAAATCATTCAGCTTTAAATTGTTTGCTTGTTAGCCACCTGCTAATAATCTTTAGCTAGCCAGCTAGCGCTAGCTTATTAATGCCTTGTCATTCTCTGTAGCTAGCTGTGTGTGTGTGTGTGTGTGTGTGTGAGCAGGCTTTGGTTGTCATGGCAATCAGGGGAGCCCACAGCAGCTGCGCGCACTCTCTCTGTCTCTAACTCCTCAGAGAGACAGAAAACAATTAAAACGAATCCCCTCAAAAGCATGGCCAGGAACGACCGAAATGAAAACCGAAAACACCGTGGGCGTCGTCATCTTGTTGACTATAGCACTGCCAAGTTTCAGTGGTTAAAGTTAAAAAATGTGACCTGGACAGATTGAGAGAGAAGAGGTTCAACGAGCGTGTTTCATGATTGCTCCTCTAAAATTAACATGGGAGTAGATGGGGCCGTGAGAGGGAGTTGCTGGCGCATCAGTGCGTCTACCGCCAAAACTATTTGTCTGACAGCTTCAGCAGTAGTATCACTGCGACCCCAACGGATTTACCTACATTTCTATCTATAAATTATTTCTGTAGAGTGAAATTTGTGGCCATGACAGCAGTTTACAAATTTTTTTTTCGACAAATTTTTCTCTCTCCCCACACTCTAGCGATGATGTCACGCACTCTGGCAGTTTTTTTCGGTTGGAGGTTCTCGCAATACACACCCATTCATTTTTTGGACCGGTTTTTGGCGATTTATCGGCAAACCGTTTGGCGAAATTCTTAGAAAAGTCATAGCACTCGATTCCCGGCCGAGCCGCACGTTTTGATACCTTTCTTGTGTACGTGCGACAAAAGCTCCGGGAGGAGTAGCGCGCCGAAAAACGTACGGAAGAATAATAATAACTAGAAAATTCCTAAAGCAATTTTGATTGTGCCTTGCTCTGGCCCATATGTTAATACCATGTCTAGCCATGTCTTGCTCTCTAGCACGCTAGCGCTAGCATATTAATACCATGTAATTCTCTTTAGCTAGAGCTAGCACACATAAACACATTAACCAAAGGTAGCGCTTAGCTACGTGCTAAGCGCTAGCTAAGCGCTAATCGCTAGCTAAGCGCTAATCGCTAGCTACATGCTAATCGCTAATCGCTAGCTAAGTGCTAGCTTTGGTTAATGTGTTTAATTGTATAATGCTCCTGAAGGAGTGCTAATGTAAATGAAGGAACAGCTCATAGTAGGGTAAAATATTTAAGGTGTATTGTTCTTATTTTGTGTTAATATTAAAATCATTCAGCCTTAAATTGTTTGCTTGTTAGCCGCCTGCTAATTATCTTTAGCTAGCGCTAGATTATTAATGCCATGTAATCCTCCCTATAGCATATTGATAACCTGTCATCCTCCTTAGCTAGCGCTAGCATATTAATATCATGTCATTCTCTTTAGTTAGCTAGCTAGAGCTAGCACACATAAACACATAAACCAAAGCTAGCGCTTAGCTACGTGCTAATCGCTAGCTAACCGCTAATCGCTAGCTAACCGCTAATCGCTAGCTACATGCTAATCGCTAGCTAACCGCTAATCGCTAGCTAAGTGCTAGCTGTGGTTAATGTGTTTAATTGTATTATGCTCCTGAAGGAGTGCTAATGTAAATTAAGGAACAGCTCATAGTAGGGTAAAATATTTAAGGTGTATTGTTCTTATTTTGTGTTAATATTAAAATCATTCAGCTTTAAATTGTTTGTTTGTTAGCCGCTTGCTAATTATCTTTAGCTAGCTAGCGCTAGCTTATTAATGTCTTGTCATTCTCTGTAGCTAGCTTGTGTGTGTGTGTGTGTGTGTGTGTGTGTGTGAGCAGGCTTTGGTTGTCATGGCAATCAGGGGAGCCCACAGCAGCTGCGCACGCTCTCTCTCTGTCTCTAACTCCTCAGAGAGACAGAAAACATTTAAAATGAATCCCCTCAAAAGCATGGCCAGAAATGACCGAAATGAAAACCGAAAACACCGTGGGCGTTGTCATCTTGTTGACTATAGCACTGCCGAGTTTCAGTGGCTAAAGTTAAAAAATGTGACCTGGGGAGATTGAGAGAGAAGAGGTTCAACGAGCGTTTTTCAAGATTCCTCCTCTCCATTTTAATATGGGAGTAGATGGGGCCGTGAGAGGGAGTTGCTGGCGCATCAGTGCGTCTTCCGCCAAAACTATTTGTCTGACAGCTTCAGCAGTAGTATCACTGCGACCCCAACGAATTTACCTACGTTTCTATCTATAAATTATTTCTGTAGAGTGAAATTTGTGGCCGTGACAGCAGTTTACAAATTTATTTTTCGACAAATTTTTCTCTCTCCCCACACTCTAGCGATGATGTCACGCACTCTGGCGGTTTTTTTCAGTTGGAGGTTCTCGCAATACACACCCATTCATTTTTTGGACCGGTTTTCGGCGATTTACCGGCAAACCGTTTGGCGGAATTCTTAGAAAAGTCATAGCACTCGATTCCCGGCCGAGCCGCACGTTTTGATACCTTTTTTGTGTATGTGCGACAAAAGCTGCGGGAGGAGTAGCGCGCCGAAAAAACGTACGGAAGAATAATAAGTTTAACTAGAAAATTCCTAAAGCAATTTTGATTGTGCCTTGCTCTGGCCCATATGTTAATACCATGTCTACGTGCTAACCGCTAATCGCTAGCTGTGCGCTAATGACCTTTTATTAATGCCATGTAATCCTCCCTATAGCATACTGATAACCTGTCATCCTCCTTAGCTAGTGCTAGCATATTAATATCATGTCATTCTCTTTAGCTAGCTAGCTAGAGCTAGCACACATAAACACATAAACCAAAGCTAGCGCTTAGCTACGTGCTAATCGCTAGCTAACCGCTAATCGCTAGCGACGTGCTAATCGCTAGCTAACTACTAATCGCTAGCTACATGCTAATCGCTAGCTAAGCGCTAATCGCTAGCTAAGTGCTAGCTCTGGTTAATGTGTTTAATTGTATTATGCTCCTGAAGGAGTGCTAATGTAAATTAAGGAACAGCTCATAGTAGGGTAAAATATTTAAGGTGTATTGTTCTTATTTTGTGTTAATATTAAAATCATTCAGCTTTAAATTGTTTGCTTGTTAGCCACCTGCTAATTATCTTTAGCTAGGTAGCTACCTAGCTTATTAATGTCTTGTCATTCTCTGTAGCTAGCTATGTGTGTGTGTGTGTGTGTGTGTGTGTGTGTGAGCAGGCTTTAGTTGTCATGGCAATCAGGGGAGCCCACAGCAGCTGCGCACGCTCTCTCTCTGTCTCTAACTCCTCAGAGAGACAGAAACATTTAAAATGAATCCCCTCAAAAGCATGGCCAGGAACGACCGAAATGAAAACCGAAAAGACCGTGAGCGTCGTCATCTTGTTGACTATAGCAGTGCCGAGTTTCAGTGGTTAAAGTAAAAAAATGTGACCTGGGGAGATTGAGAGAGAAAAGGTTCAACGAGCGTGTTTCAAGAATCCTCCTCTCCTTTTTAATATGGGAGTAGATGGGGCCGTGAGAGGGCGTTGCTGGCGCATCAGTGCGTCTCCCGCCAGAACTATTTGTCTGACAGCTTCAGCAGTAGTATCACTGCGACCCCAACGGATTTATCTACGTTTCTATCTATAAATTATTTCGGTAGAGTGAAATTTGTGGCCATGACAGCAGTTTACAAATTTTTTTTTTCGACAAATTTTTCTCTCTCCCCACACTCTAGCGATGACATCACGCACTCTGGCAGTTTTTTTCAGTTGGAGGTTCTCGCAATACACACCCATTCATTTTTTGGACCGGTTTTTGGCGATTTATCGGAAAACCGATTGGCGAAATTCTTAGAAAAGTCATAGCACTCGATTCCCGGCCGAGCCGCACGTTTTGATACCTTTTTTGTGTACGTGCGACAAAAGCTGCGGGAGAAGAAGCGCGCCGAAAAACGTACGGAAGAATAAAATATTATAATAAGCCCGAGGGATAGTAGTATTGTGCTTGCTTTGCAAGGCACAATAATAAGCCCGAGGGATAATAGTATTGTGCTTGCTTATGCAAGGCACAATAATAAGCACGAGGGATAGTAGTATTGTGCTTGCTTATGCAAGGCACAATAATAAGTATGGGGAATAATAGTATTGTGCTTGCTTATGCAAGGCACAATAATAAGCCCGAGGGATAGTAGTATTGTGCTTGCTTATGCAAGGCACAATAATAATAAGCACGAGGAAGAGTAGTATTGTGCTTGCTTATGCAAGGCACAATAATAAGCCCGAGGAAGAGTAGTATTGTGCTTGCTTATGCAAGGCACAATAACTACAACACCACCACACCGGATCTAGCTAGACTGGAAACAAAACAACAGGCACGCCGCACACACTTGTTTAAGAGTAGTAGACGTTATGTTTTGAGTGGATGGCGAGTGCGAGACGCCGAAATGGATGGATTCCTTGTTGTCTGAAAATGTCAACAGGCTTGTTTGTTTGAGTAACTGACTCAAAGCAAAAAAGTGGTAGGCTTATCTTTTATTGGTAACCGTTACTGTTCATTCTTTCTGAAATAAGAGGCTGGGTTGAGCCTCTGGTGAATAAAGAGCAGTAGCCTGACTGCTATGTTCAAAGCAAACTTGAGAAAAGTATTAAGCCATGGTTTAACTGCACTATAGGCTGAGTCCTAGTTTACCTTACATGTGTACTTTGTAATTTTATTTTGTATCGCCCTGTTTTGATCCCTTAGAAAGGGCTGTTGAAGGGGCCGTTTGTGTGACAAAGTATTTTTTTCACCCTTTTATTAATGGACAGTGTTACATTGTGTGAGAGATTATTTGCTCCAAGTTAGGATGTTAGTGTGAAATTGAACACTACAGTATATTCAATTCAATTCAATTCAATTAAATTTTATTTTTATAGCGCCAATTCATAACAGAAGTTATCTCAGGACACTTCTCAAATAGAGTAGGTCTAGACCGAACTCTTTATAAAACTATTTACAGAGACCCAACAGTTCCCTCCATGAGCAAGGACTTGGCGCCGGCAGCAAGGAAAAAACACAGCACAGAGCATACACAACTACAAACAGTAAAGTCAGTTTGTGTTCTGTTGACTTTTTTAGGTCTGGAACCAGGACTGCTGTGCAAAAAATAAACACACACACACACACACACACACACACTGATACACATTTTAATCTACTCTCCGATATTGTTAACCTAAGCAGCTGGAGAGTCCTCACAGCTCTGGCTCTCAGCTCTGGTCATTTCTGCCTATTGATTGACACATTTATCACTCCCCTCTCCTCCATGCCCCTTACACCCCCTCTCTCTCTCTCTCTCTCTCTCTCTCTCTCTCTCTCTCTCTCTCTCTCTCCACACATCTGTTTATCCTCTTGACTGCCTGTTCAGTCTCTGGAGAGGGCACTTATCTCTGTGGCTGTTGTAGGTGGACCTGGTTTGTTATCCCACTGAGCCTATTGTAAGACAGCCCACTTGGGTCAATGGCCATCCTCTACCAGCTAAAAACAATCAGCACACAGTCAATAGCGGAGCCATTAAGATGTGGAATGGCAATAACAGGCCAACTGAAGATACTCCGCTCTGTTTAGGAAGGAGGAGGAGACAGAAAGAGGAAAGAGAGCAAAGACCTGCTGAAATCGATGGTCTCTTTTGGGGCTTCTGGATGGGTCATGAGAGAGAATCGTTGTGGTGGTTCGCTCATTGGGAATCTTTTTGCATCATCAAGGAGGGAGAAAACAACTGGATAAGCAAGAGGAGAAAGAGAGTAAGAAAAGCAAGACATTGCACAGGAGATTTAGGCTCTCTGCACAGGATCAGAGGCAGGAGCTTTATTAACCAGCCTGAGCTATTGTTTTCCTATAGACAAAGCAAATAACCGGCATTGTGCACCACACAGTTTTTAAACTTTGTTGCTGCAAGTTCAATCAGTTTTATCTGTGATCTTGTTTGTTTGATCCCCTTAATGTTTGTTTGTTCCCCTTAATGTTCAACCAATGAGATGACAGCTGTGTGTGACATAATGAGACAGATACCTGGGAGAGAGGTGTTGTTTTTCTGCTAAGACATGCAGTACCAAGCATATTATAGATATGCCCATGCACTCTACTTAATATCTGACCCATCTTGATAGTTGCCAGTGCCTTCTTTAATTTTAAACTGATGAGTTGTTAGACTATTTTCTTCTATAGCTTACCTGGTGCTTGTTAGTGACATAAACCTATACCGCACCTGTGTTTTGTGCTCCATCTCGTAGTGAGCACAGGTCACAGAAAGAAGGAAGATATTATGGAAGTTGTAAGAGATGAGGGAGAGTCAATGAAGGGAAATATGTTATACATTTATAAAGGAATAGGACAGGAGAGAGAGAGAAATGTGGGGAGTGAGATGACATAACATGCATCCATCTGATTACAAGCATGACCCCCTCAAGATGTGATATGGCTGGTTTGATCACATTCTGATCCCAACACTTTCTGCATTTATTTACACCTTGCTTTAACATGCATTTTTCCTTATCCATATACACATCACATTTTACTACCAGGTGTAATAGGGGTATGAATGGCATCAGAAGACCAGATACCAGAGTCTGGTTCAATATAGCAGTAGATTTGTCCTGTTATGGTTCAGACCTACACCATTTTCCCAGGCTCATTTGTGTTAAGAGTGTAGGCAGGGTAATATTAGCAGTGGTTAGAGACTGTATTTGTTCAAGCTAATACTGCAGTGAGTAAAAAAAGTTTGACCAAAATCATAACAGACTCATTATGAAGCTCCCACAGTGATGCTCATGCGCTACCCTCTGTTTACATTTCCCCTTGGCTCACTCCTGGGCACCTTTCAGAGAGAAATTAAGCTTCAAAACAAACTGTTTTGAAATGAAACCGTTTTTCATTTTCCACACAATATTAAGGCAGCCTCACAACACACCTCAGCATCAGGTTAGCTTGTCTACCCTGAGGCGAGATAAGTCTATCAAGCAGGAAGCAGAGGGCAGATGCCATGTATCTGCAGTTCAGAGAGCGACAGGAGCAGGTGTGAAGAATGGTGTTGTGTTGTAGCAAGCAAAGGGGACATCCAGGTCAAATGTTCAGAAATGAGTATTTCATGAAAGTTGTGACATAATAAGAAAGCCCAGATATACTACCATAATAAGTAGTAGGACTGTGTATTGGCAAGAATCCGGTAATACAATATGTATCACAAAACAGGGGGCTACAATTCAATATATAGCAATATTGTAAGCAAGATGATACATTTCGATTTTTTAATAATCTAAAACTGTGTAGAGAACACATCACCATATACATAAAATCTGTAACATCCAACATCATAGCACTACTTTTTTGCAAAGGAATAAATGTGCTTGCAGGATTCTTTAGGTAAACAAAATTAGAAAATAACATAGTAATTTAATAATATAGACAGTATATCATTTTAGGTCCTACTCTAAAGGTTTACCAGTTTTAAATTTCTCAAGTAGTTAATTAAAGACAACAACTGCCACCAATCTATCATAAAAAATATCTATAATAAATAAATAGGCATTATAACTTGAATTAACACTGATTCTAAACATCAGCAACCGTACCCTGCTCACCAACGTGTGTGGACCCCAGGAAGTAGCTTCCTCGGTGGGAGCTGATGGGGATAGAAAGTAGAAGAAAGTTAAGTTAAGTTTACCTTTATTGATCCCTGTATAGAAATCCATTCTCTGCATTTGACCAATCCTGAGTACTAGGAGCAGTGGGCAGGCACCATGCAATGCCCATGGACCAACTCCAGATCTGGGCCAGTGCTTTGATAAAGGGCACTGACTGGAGAATTGACCTAATATACAAACACACACAAAAGGTATAGAATCATGAGAGTAATTTCTGAATCCATATGTATGAACAAAGTGTAATGGATGAAGTAGTTAAACCTGAGTTTTGGAACCAGGCCATCACGGCTGAACCCAGACTAGACTGCTCTGTGTTGGACAAGGTCTGCCCACTGCTTCCTCTTACAGTATGCTTTTAATTGGAATCTACAGTATTTCGGATATCAGCAGCTTCTCTCTTGCTCCTCCACACTCTCCTTTAATCTTATCTACTCCTCTTTGCCTGCAGTGCATCTGTCCATCTTTCTCATTCTGTAACTTTCATTATTGCTGTGTTAAATT